TTAATGATTTATTTCTTTATTTTAAAATTAACATTCCTCAGATTTTGATAAAGTGAATATTTCTCCCTAGTCATAAAAGATTATGGTAAAAGTCCATACATTTATGGATTCCTTAAATAATTTTAAGTCCTATAATTGCACTGAAATTTTTTTTAAACACCCAATCAGTAATAATAATTATATATGCTTCTCCCGGAGGCTCAGTGTTACGTATTAAAACTGATAGCATTAAAAATTATGTTTCGATATCCACGATGGGCAGAGCACAGATAGCTCATTAGGTACTTTTGTTCTTACCAACAAAATGAACAAACAAACAAACTGTTATATGTGCATAATATGCTTTTCATCGTTAATACTTTTTTTTGCTCCAAATCTTAAATTTTTAACTTGAGGGGAGGAAGCAGAGAGAGAAACTACCCAGTAGATGTGCCTGGTTACAGTATATAGCGAAACACCCGTGTAAGGTACAGCTTGAAGGTGAAACATAGGATAAAACATTATTGCAAAAAGTTAACAGTTAGAAATAATTACCATTAAAATCTATTTATTCATATCAGTACAAAACTCAAAACACCCATGTAATTGATATCACATTTTTGAAGGTTGTATAGTGTGTTCCATACACAGGCACATGACAGTTGTCGTTTGCGCTGGTTGTTCCTAATTTTGAACTGACAGAGCAGAGTGAAAGGAGGTAGTTAATATACACCGCCAACTATTAGCCTGCTATAATCGAATAGTGGCATTTGTTCGTCACTCTTATAACGGTCCTATAGTACGAAGCGCGATTGGGCGACAAGGAAACGCTAACCTTCAGATCTACAGTCTGGCACGTTTAACTATTATGCCACACCCGTACTGATAGTAATATTAGTATATTTCTGCGTATGGGACAACCCTTTAACACTTCAAACTTTATTTTAGTGCAAATCCTAATGTAATCTTGCCAAATTTTAATTCCCTAAGAAGAGAGTTGTAACAAATTTGTTGTCATGTATTTATCGTAATATGAACGTTGTTTAGATTAAGTTTATATTTAAAAAACATGCATAGCTTGTAGTGTTAGATATGTATTGCGAAACTCCCACCTATTCTCTAAAGTTGTAGAAGATTCTCGAAAGTAAGAATCAACAATATATGTATATACGTAAATGTTTAAAATGTAACTTGCATTGTCACGTAAGAGTGAAATTTCTAGAAAGCCTCCACACAGGTATAAATATAACCAACGAGACGCGCCAAAAAGAGAGTGTCTATTGTTAGTTCGCTATAGTCAGTGTGCTATAAACTTCGAAAGCTATAATCTTAAGATATCTAACTAGGAATATTTGTACATTTCTGATAGTGATAATGTTCGAGCTTTTCTAACTACTGAAGACCAAGCTAGTCTAAATGTTTATAACATTATGAATCTTCAAGTGGAACATTTTCAGATATGGAAATCAACTTTCTTTATGAAGGCTTCAACTTCAATTCCGCCAACAACAACAACAACAACACTGTTAACGACCTTGAAGTCCTTTCTAATCTGTACACCCTCTTCCGGTTGCTTAGCGATAAATCTGATGGCTTATAACACTAAAAATTAGGTTTCGATACCCACGATGGGCACAGCACAGATAGCCTGTTACGTAGGTTTTCGCAACACTTTTAAAAAAAGTCCTCTTGGATACCTCTTACAGACAACCAACCACATTTAAAGAGTTCTAATAAAGTTGTTGAAAATAATTCAATTTTGAAATTATCTAGATGTTCTCTCAGTAATTTCAACAAAAAAACTGCTCTCAGTAATCTTAAATCTGAGTGCTCATGTGGGGGAGCCCGGCACATCCATGTGATTAAGGCTTTCTACCTGATACCCCTTCGGTTCGATGTAGGGAATATGCGAAAGTGGTTGATATGGAGGTGGAACCAACGAATAATGGTAAGAAGAAAGTTTTGGAATCACCTGATAAGGCTCAAATACCTCGTGTGAGAAAAACTACCAACCAGAAAGTGAATTACGTTTATTATCATTTTTCCCCAATATGGTGAATCTATTTAAGATAGGGGGGGTGATCTGTAACAGGCTGAGAGAATTTGTTAAATTGAAAAAAATATTTGATATATTTTAGTAATTTGTTTTCAAGAGACATTTATTACTGATCAATATTATTATTTAATTAGTAAATTTTGGCCAGGGCCATTTTTATGTCAAATGCAGTGAGTGGTCGTCAAGGGGGGGGGGGGTTTGGGGTTTGGTGCACCCTACACTTTCTCAGTTTACACTATACTGATCAGTTGGGAGAGTGATAGTTATTAATTGTAATTTTAATGATTTTTTTTTGTATTTTTAATGTTTATGAACGGGTTGTTTTTTTTTATAGATGTTTTAATTTTTTTTTCAGCTAAAACAAATCTAGTTGTGGATGAATCTCCAGATAAAATTTTACCGAGATGCTAGTCGTTAAGGTTTCAGTTTTCTGTTAAGTACCTTTTGTTTATGGGACGTGGTTTCCTTTTTTGGGTTTCATTTGGTAAGTGAGGGATTCGGACTGATAATTTTGTTTGATTTTCAGTTTAGATCATATTTTTATTACGTTTACTAATATTTTATTTTATTTTTTTGTTACTGCAAATTTTCTGTGTATGTACTTTAAGTAATTACCCTTACCTATAATTTTTTTACTAATCAGATATGTACAGTCATTTTCCTGAGATGTCTTATTATTGATGTATTTTTTGCTTGTACCCTATCTAGGAGGGTGGATTAATAAAGAAAAAAAGGCTCTCGACTCGCAATCAGAGGGTCTCGGGTTTGAATCCCTGTCACACCAAAACATGCTCGCCCTTTCAGCCGTGGGGCATTATAATGTGACGGTCAGTCTTACTATTCGTTGGCAAAAGAGTAGCCCAAGAGTTGGCGGTGGGTTGTGATGACTAGCTGCCTTTCCTCTAGTCTTTCACTGCTAAATTACGGACGGCCAGCTCAGATAGCCCTCGTGTAGCTTTGCGCGAAATTCCACAAAAAATCTACAAAATGGTTTAATTTTCTGAGATTTATTTTATTTACGTTTACCACAGACATTTTGATTTTGATGGTAATTATTTCTAGCTGCTAACTTTTTGCTATGAATGTTTTATCCTATGTTTCACCTACGAGTTGTACCTTACACGGGTGTTTCGCTATATACTGTAACCAGGCACATCTACTGTTTGATTCCCTTCTCAGCTTCCTCCCCTCAAGTTAAAAATTTAAGATTTGGTGCAAAAAAGGTATAACGATGAAAAGCAAACCAAATGATGAACATGCACTCAAAGATATACCCTAGTACTAAAGTTAATGGTTTTCATCTTTGTAATAAAGCTCACTGCTAGAATTTAAAGTTCGTGGAAATCACCTACTCTTTTTTTTTCCAAAACAACACAATCAAAACCACTTTAGAATTATTAAAGAGGTTATCCGCACAAAACACTAATTTTTTTTGTTCAGTGTAGAAAACGTACCCACCATAATGTGGGGCAAACTCACACAGCTCTTAGAAAGACTTTCAACAAACAGACATATTCTATCAATAATAATAAAAAAGAATGTGTTTCTGTTGCCCAATATTTCAAACAGCCTGATTATTATGTCTGGGTTTAGAACAAAAGCAGATAAAGAAAGAAAAATAAGCTGTTTGGATTGTTATTTTCGATACTGTTCATTCCTATTGGATCAATTTGACTCCCAAATCGGGACCTTCAACTTTAATCACTTACGTTTTGTCCCCGGTGGCTCAACGAGAAGCTAGTTAGCTTATAACACTAAAATTTGAGATCCGATCCTTGCGATAATCACAGCACAGGTAGCCCATTTTGCAACTTTGTGTTTAACAACAAACAGAAAGAAACAACTTATTCTGTTTACATTTTATTTCTAATCTACGTTATTAATTTTATGTTTATAGTTATCATTTCTTTCTCATTTCATTTAACAATTAATAACTATTCTGCATGTAGATAGTACAGTACTTTACTATAACCAAACATACATATGTATGCTAATTTAAGTCTAGCTCCCCATGCAGTGTTACAACAGAATGATAATTTGTTGACTTTTCATTGGATGTTTATGGATTTTATGTGAACAGCTAGGCAAGTGTTTAAGCTATATTTCATGCAAAATTGCTTTTAGATTTAATCTCATAGAATCTATTTTGTTACTAATTTTCTGTAGCATGCCCCACAGACTCCCGTAGCATTAGCATGCTGATTGTGCTCAGCACAATATGTGTTGGCTTTTGATTTCACAAATTAGAACCCCCCTTTCAAACATTCTGCGTACGGCCTGTGTCTGTTAATATTTGTTGCAGTACTTACTGGAATTGTAATGCTGGTTTTAGATCATGTATTGTGTACTTGGGCTCGTAACAAAAGCTTTTTTTATGGGCATAACAGTTTTTCTGAGTTAAAAAAAAGTAATTTAAAAAATAAATGAATACGTTTCAACTTTATGTCCCAAATGCCGATCAAAACAACTTGTTTTCCGGTACTGCTGTGATTACGTAGTCTTACAACCACATCAACATCAGTTACACTTGACGTAGGTCAATCATCGTTTTGACATATTATTTCTAACTTTGACTTTTTATGTTTCACTTCCTTGTACAGAAATGATGTTTTTGATTGAAAAAAGGCTTGAGAAATATCACCAAATATGGCACAGAATTAAGTTGTATCGTTAATGAAGGATCTTGAAACTGACGCTGTGTGGTAGATCTTTTAGAAAGTACGTAGCAAAATGTGAAAACTTAAAACATTATTTTATCATACTCACGAATGTAAAAATTATTCTGATACCTTCATCAGTGATCTATTCTCCATAATCCATTATTTCAAAACTACTTTTTTACATATTTAGTGTTCGCGAAGGTACTCGAATAACAATACAAAAGCTACAGTTTCTCAAAGAGAAGACTTGAAATTTTAATAAGAAAAAGTAACCACAAAAATCTCCGAAGTATGAGATCGTTTTATTGTAATTTAGGATAAAATGTAACAAATGGCTACAAATCCTTAAATACTTCCAACAAAAAAAAAGTAACGAGCTTTACACTTTTTTGATTTTTTTCATTCCATGCTTGTTCAAATATCAAAAACAATAGAGCTCTTTATCATACGACTATTAATAAATAAACAGGCTATCTCCTGAGAAAAGAAAAGACAGACAAAGTAGCTCATCTGTACAAACATATCACAAGAAGGAATGTCGTGGTTCTGTAAAACATGCAAACGTTTTCCTTGATGTAAGTCAAACCCTTGATTTTGGCATGTTTCGTCTTACACTTAGTTGGTCTGAACAACACAGTGTTCAGTCATTATAAGATATTAGTGTTTACAAACTTTGATCGTCTTTACTATTTCTAAGATATCAAATAAACATATCAAAAGTTTAATATTTCAAACATGTTAAAGATGTTTCCTGAATGTGACAAAACTCACCAACTTAAATGTGTACTTTATCCAAAGTGATAAAAACAAATTTTTGTTTTAAATATACAGAAAAGGGATTTAAAATCTTATTCAGAAAGCACACATAGTAAAACTTATATCAGATGACAGTGTTTACATCTATACAGAAAACGCTTTTGTTTGTAAATAAAATGTCTCTTTTAAAAGCCGAAATTAAATCAACACCAAGTCTGCTGTGAAGTTTTCCACTCTCGGAAGACAAAGTAGTTTATACCAAGATGTACTCTTCAGTCCGAGGGTTTACGACTAGGCCCGAACTTTCACGCTGTGCTGATTCTACAAAATTCTGAGGTTTACTGTTCTGGGATGCCATTGCTGGTGAGGAACTGATCTGTGAGGCCATCTTTTGAGAAGAATGCTCCTGTAGAAACAAATAAATAATGCTTCTTAAAATAAATTTCGACAAATAAACATTATTACCAAAAATCTTAGTTTTTTACCAAGGCTTGGTTCTCCTATAGGTATTGACATCCTTATAGACGTACAGTATCTTAAGTTCTACTTCTTCCGATTCAGCAGCTAAACCTAAAACTCAATCACAGAAGGTTCTGATAATGAAATGTTTTTTGTAGCTGTTTTTTTAAAAGAAACGCTGTATAGTTATCCTAAAGTAACGTTTCAAAATAACCAGTGTATATTTTATATAAATTTGTTATCCACAATAGCCAAGTGTATACTGGTTTATGGTTGTATCACCATTGCACTTACTACATTAGTACCTGTTTAACTGCGTTGGCGCAATAATACAATATAATTTATAAAATGTTTTCACAACCATTATGGCATAATAATGGTTGGAGACTGCTTGAATGCGTAATGAAGAAAAGCTTTAATATAAGTTTAACATAACAGCAAATGTACAACGTTTCGACAAGGTTTTGTCATCATCAGGTACTTGTTAATGTCTTCATTTATGTAATCCGTTGAACAGAGTCTTGTTGCTGTGTTTATGAGGTTTTTAAGTGTATTGAATTTTTGTGTGGTGTCATGAGCGGAATTCCAAGGGATGTAGAGGCCAGTGTGTGTGTTCTTACGGTGAATTTTGGTTTTAAATTGTGTGT